TACTCTGCATCATACTTGGATTTTGGAATGGCTGTTTTGCAGTTTGATGTTTCCTCAAATTGCATTATGTATACAAGTGGCAAGCTTTTATGAAGATCTGTGTGCCACAAGTTACATTTCACAAAAAAGGAAATATAAATGTTATTTGCATGTTATATAAATAATTGGCCTTGCATGAGGCATCAAACAATCTTTACAAGCTGGATGTTTTAATACAGAATCCCTTTAAGAATTCAAACTTATTACTTGTACTGTGCCTTTAAACTGTGGATTTGTTTGAAATAGAAAAGGAACACACAGCTGAGTTAAATTTTAAAAGATAGTTTGTTAATTGGGTTTTGTTTTAGCATTATAAGGTTGCTTGACTCGTTTTAATCTTCACTTTAAATATTCACTTCCATTATTACTTCACTAGAGGCCCAGTGCACAAAATTCGTGCGGGGGCGGGGGGGGTGTCCCCTCAGCCCAGCCTGCACCCTCTCCAATCCGGGACCCCTCGAGGGATGTCCGACTGCCGGTTTAGGCCCAATCCCAGGGATCGGGCCTAAACCGGCAGTCAGACATCCCTCTCACAATCCGGGACTGCTGGCTCCTGTCTGATCACCCCTAACTGCCCCCTCCTCCCCCCGACAGCCTGGTCGCCCCACGCAGCCTGCTGTATAGTCCTTACTGTTACTGTGATGGCGTCCCTGACAATTTGCATATTCCTCTATTAATAGTATAAATGTGTTAATAAAGCAGAAAGAAATGAAAGTTAACAGCAAATGTAGTAGCATTAATGTGCAGCAGAGCCTTCTAATTATGATGATTACCAGCATTAACTGGCACATTGGTATGATTAAAATTACCTAATGCTAATGTTGTATGATCAATCTTCATAAGTAAAACATTCAGACTTAAAAACCTGCACTTTCAGCCGAAACCGGTTTGGCTCAGTGGATAGAGCGTCGGCCTACGGACTGAAAGGTCCCAGGTTCGATTCCGGTCAAGGACATGTACCTTGGTGGCGGGCACATCCCCAGTGGGGAGTGTGCAGGAGGCAGCTGGTCGATGTTTCTAACTCTCTATCTCTCTCCTTTCCTCTCTGTAAAAACTCAAAATATATTAAAAAAAAACAAAAAAAACCCAAAAACCTGCACTTTCAATTGTGCACACTAGAGGCATCTTTTCAAAAGTGCTTCACTCAATTCTGGATTTTTTTTTTCTTTCAAATGTTAAAATTACACATCTTGTTAGTTTGGATGTTTGTTAAATGTTCCTGGTCATTTATTGATTTAGTAATATACAGGGTGGTGGCAAAATAAGGTTTACAGTTCATATAGAAAATAATACAATGATTAATAAATAATAATACAATAAACTGTTTTATGTACTCACAACTGTAAACCTACACTTGGCCCACCCTGTAGTTAACCAATATTGTATTATCAAACTAATAAGTCTGCCCCCTCAAGACCATACCTTTCCCCTTTATGTTCAGAAGTGAAGAATGACAGGAGTAAAAAGGTGACATTCCTCTTTCTTAAATTTGGGAAATATCTGTGGCAGTAGTTATGTATATGGTTCTAAGAGGTAGCAATGAAAACAATGTAGAACTGTGTAATGTTTAGAGTAGGATGCCACCCTGTTTACCCTGTTTATTTTTTTGAGAGGACAGGAGGCAGAGCTTACCCTAAGCATCATCAAATGGTTAGAGTGAAGTATGGTATCTTTCTTTCATCTCCTACCTCAAACGCAGCCCTCCCAAAAACCAACACCTGAATCTTCCTGTGTGCTTGGCACTTTTAAAACACCAGCAAAAGTTAAAAAGGTTGATCTCCTCTCCACATATTCTGTCCCCTGTAATAAGAGTATTTTTTTTTCCCTTTGGAGTAAATTACAGCCTAATTGGGAGGGGCTGGGGGGCCGGAGACAGAGAGAGGGACAGAACTCCATTACATGAAGAAAACATTGTACTTAAAACAATTCTAAGGGATGCTTCATATCCATCTGGTTGTTATTATTATAGCTATAGTCAACATTTAGAGCATTGAGTACATGTAAAACACAGTACCAAGTATTTTATACCTATTAACTCATTTAATCTTCAGAAGAATCCATGAGGGATTAACTAAATGGTTCTATTTTACAGATAAAGAAACTTAGCCAGTTAAGTTACCTGTCTGAAGTCATTCAACAATAAAGGACAAAACTGGTTTACAAATCCAGATTGACTCCATAGCTGGGAGTGTCATACAAAGATGCCTGGGGCTCATCCCAGCATTAAGAGCACTGAGGGGCAGGGGAGGCATTGGTTAAAAGAGGTATTTGAAAGAATCCAAAAAAAGGAGGTAAGAGCATACCTTAAAGTACATCCACTTGGAAAATTAGATTGGAGTCAGCCAAGCTGCTGGGACCCTAAAAATCACCTTGTCCATGCACATATAATGTCTCAGGCCCTTAGTGACACAATACCGAAATACCGCAATAGTGAATTTAATAATGGTAATTTATGACGTCAGGTACAGTAGTCCCCTTTATCCACAATTTGTTACTGTGGTCCAAAAATAATAAATGGGAAATTTCAGAAATAACTCATAAGCTAACAGTTGCACGCTGAGTAGTGTGATGTCCCACTCTGCCCCACCGGGACATGAATCATCCCTTTGTCCAGCATATTCACACTGTACATAAAGTACAAGATATTCTGAGAGGCTACATTCATATAACTTTTATTACAGTATATTGTTATAACTGTTGCATTGTTGTTAACCTCTTACTATTCCTAATTTATAAATTAAACTTTATCAAAGGTATATGTATAGGGAAAAAAACACAGTATACATAGAGTTTGGTACTTTCCATTGGGGGTCTTGGAATGTATTCCTGGTGGATTACTGTACCATTTGATATTTACAGTATCATCTTCGGGTATATCATTAATCTTTACAAGATCCTTATGAGCCAGACCCCAGTTTTTACAGAAGAAACAAAGGCTTAAATAAAATCAGTGATTTGCTCAAAGTTTTAAGAAAGCCAAGACTCAAATCCAGGCTAGAGGATTTTTTTTTCTAACTTACATAAATGATTAGTTAATATTAACTTCCTTTGTGGATCCTCTGGGTTTTAAACCACAAGGAAGAAAATCTATCCAGATTATGCAAATTTATCTTAATCTATCCAAATTAAAATTATTTGTAAGCGGCAAAACAAACAATAAGGAAGCCATATCCCATATGTCAGTACAGTTTAAGGTATTTGTGTAGAACAAACCATACACTATCTTGTCCTCAGGCTCCAAAAAGAATCATGGCTCTTACATGTTCATTTGTTAAAGTACCTACCAGGTTGCATCAGACGGGTAATTTATGATGGGTGTCTTCTAAGCAAGTCACATCTAGATTTCTACGGCAGGTATAGATTTGGAAGGGTTAGATGAAATTAATTTTCAGATTTCAAGGTAGCTTAGGGAATCAAGTGTTTGCCAAGAACTCAGCACACGAGAATTTATATGATGCGGCCTGAACTTCAGCTACAATTAATATAAGTTAGAAGTAATTCCTCTTGATAATGTTATGCTTCATGTCTCCCTGGAAATTTTCAGGAAAAGTCATGTTTTAACTGTGACCTTGACAGCAAATATTGTGAGTGCTAGAGGAATTTACATATCTAATGGTATAAAGACTACTTGAGAGTGCTTCATATGACCACCTCATTCTATTTGGTAATTCCTGATTCTTCTCCTGTCTAATACATTCCTCGTGTCCACATTATACCCCTCTGCCTTTTCTGAGTGGTAATGGTCCTCGAGAAGTCCTAGCTCTGGGAAGATCTGGAGACCCCACTACCTGGGTCCCTGCAGCTCCCTGCACCCTGCTATGGGTTCTTTCCTGTGTTCCCTCTACCAGTGTCCTTGCCCTCATGCCAGCCCACTCTCAGGGAGAACTCGGAAAGCAGTTCTTCAAACCATACAGAGCACCTCTTGCTTCTGCAACCTGTCTGCATTGGCAACTTGGAATGAAAATAGGAGTCAATGGTAAATTTTGACTATAAAGGCACATGGGGGCTACTCTTCAACCTTGAGATAGAATTCCCTCGTCTAATCCATGATAAATTGGCTTCTCATTTTTCCTTCCTTGCTGTTCCCTTTTGGCCATTATCTGAACTTATAAGTACATCTGCTCATTTTCCTGGGAGCTGAGACGGTGGAGGGGAAAAATCATCTAGTTTGCTATTCTGCTTGTAATAGTGAGGGGAAATTTAGGAGAAAGGGCTAAAACAAAAAGCCAGAGTAACAGTGGGTGATTTATTCATGTCATCTGGGTCTTGTAAATATTACTTTTGTCTATCCATATGACAGCATTTATCAAATTTTCAGTTGCCAAATTTCAGAGATAAAATACAGCTTTTCATTAGATAGGCCCTTATGACCCACACATTTTAGGTACTTAACTTGCTTCCGGTCTTTAAATCTCAAACATGTTCATTTCATGCAAACAAGGCATTCCATACTCATCATGCTCTCCTTGTCATCCCTGTGCATACTTATTTTGTAATGCTCATGTTATCATGACAACCCCAGCATGGACCGGCTCCCGGCACATGACGCCATCTCTCTTAATATGTGGTTTTGGGAAGGGATACTACTAATGTTTATTAAATATATTACTGAGAAAATCTAACAGAAAACTAAAATCATGTAGTTTGACTTCAAAATTAGCTATTTGACTGTGAAAGTGGAATCCTCACAGGACGGTGATGTCCTGCTGCTGTATTTTACAACTCAGCTTCATGTGTTAGGGAGACCTTAGCAGGCAGGTCACAGTTAATCCGGTGAGGCTGTCATTTTAAATACCATCCCAGATAAAACAGTAAAACTTACTGAACCCAGGGAAAGTACATTTCTGAGAGGGGGCGGTGTCATTACTAACGCGGCACATTGATTTGCTATGGAGAATAGGAGAATGGACGGTTAGTTATTTTGCATAGCAACTAACTTCTTCTCCTGATGTCTCCAACAGGGCCGCGTCAGTTGTACTGGACGGCTAATGGTACAGGCTGTCAACCAGAGAGGTCGCAGTCCCCGCTCTCCCTCGGGCCTTCCTCATGTCAGAAGGTATTTCAGATGTTCCTTTCCATTAAGTGTCACTATTAATTTATTACTGTAAGTTCAACACTCTTAGAATTATGGTGACCATAAAAACCACATAGTTGAAGACAGAATGTGAATATAACCTTAAAGTGTATACAGTTATGGCACCTTGACTATGCTACTTTGCAATTCAGAAAGAGGAAGGGAGCAAACATTTACTAAAGTGTGCTAAGTCTGCTCAGATACACCATCACTCGTTTGTTAAATAGGGCCCACTGTATACATGAGGAAATCAAAACTCAGCATCTTTACCTGACACAAAAATACCAGTAAATGCTATACAAATGTTCAAAACCAAGAGCTGTATGGATTGACCATTATCAACTACTGCCACTAAGGTTTCTTAAAACCAGCTGGCTTGTGAGAATTCATTTTTCAAATACTTCGTTCAAAACAGTTTATTTTAGACCATAACCTTATAGGCAATATTTTTCATATTTTAAATGCTCAACAAATATCTGCTAACAGTAGTGCATGCTTTCCATTCCTAGTAGCCCTGAGTTTATGTAAGGATGTTGGTGGGCAGGGCTGGGGAAAGGATATTACTTCTTAGTAACACATTTGCACTTAGAAAAGAATATGATAAGTGAACCAGTCTATCATCTTGGTTCCTATTTAGATATTTTATAGACGGAGCATGACAGTAAACTAGAGGCCACAGATGCAAACATCCTGATGAAAAGAACAAATACTAAATTAGGCTCATAGAAGGCACCAGGAAGAACTGAGTATGCACCAAACAAATGGTGTGTCTATAAGGCCTCATGTGATTGGACCCACAGAGCCCTTTGTGCAACATTTGAAAAGGCCAACTCAGACACCTAAGCATGTGCAAATCTAACTTGTGTCTGGCAACATCTGTCACAGGATCCTAGGCCTGTATCTGTGGCTGCACACACACATATCTAGTAGCATATCCACTCTCTTGTATTATTTTCTTCTGCTTTTCTTATGGTCTTCAATATATCTAAGCTTTCCCATGTACCACTGTTTCCTAGAAAAGCACTCTGTTCAAAAATTACATCTGTATTTGTAGAGAGTAACTATATTAAAAAGCTGATAATCATTAGCCTATTATACTAATCTTTCATTTGTTCCACTCTTACTTTTTCTAGTGAAGTGTTTTTAAACTTACTTTCTAAGGATTACAGGCAGAATTTGCATTCAACATCTTGCTCTCCTTAAGTCTTCCCTGCCCTTACTTTAAAATTGTATTGCTCTTAAAGATGCCTCTGGCAACATACTTAAAAACAAGACAGGAGCACAAGATCTGGGAGATTTGCACATTATTTGAAAGTTAAAAAAAAAAAATGTCTTTAGTACATGGATATCCGATATAAAAGAAAACCTTCCTTAAAATGCAATTTGTTTTCCTGGCTAATATGAGAAGGAATTTTGATTCTAAAGATATTAAATTTTTATAAAATAATGAACTTAATTTTCCATACATTTAAAATCACAAAGTTACAGTAATTTCTGTTGAAAAAGAATCGGTGGGAGAAACTAAGATGGCGGCATAGATAAACACCGGGAAATTGCCGCTCCCACAACAATTGAAAAATACCCTAAAGGACAGAGTGGACATCACCCAGAACAACAGGAAAGCTGGCTGAGTGTAAATTCTAAAACTAGAAGGAAAGAAAACCACACTGAGAGCCAGAGGAGCTGCGGAGGTGAAGTGCAGAGGTACGGCGGCTCGCGCGGGCGCGGGAAGGGGGTGGCACCTGAGGACGCGGCTGTTTTTTTGAATCACAAGCTCCTGACTGCTCTGAACTCCGGTTCTGGGAAGTCTCTGGGGACTCAGGACTCATACGGGGAGGAGCGGACTCTCGGGCAGCGGGCGAACTTGAGTGCGGCTTTCCCTCAGAGGTGCTTGCAGCCACTACTGGGACACTGAGACGGAGAATCGGCCATAGCTGCTTTCTCTGCTCTTTGACTCCCTGAGACCCCGCCCCACCCAGGCTGCGGCAGAGGCTTTTGCATGTGAATGTACCTAACTGCAGCCAAACCAGGCAGACCCGGAACTTCCAAGAGAAGGCCCAAGGCCCCGCAGCGGCTTGCATTGCTTCACAGCTGAGCCTCTTCGTGGCTCCTGCTGTGTGGCCTCAGGCAGAGGCTGAATTAGCACCTCCTTAGATCCAGGAGCCACTGTACCCAGTGGTCAGAGGGGGACCATCCAGATTGCAATTCCTCAGATCCATAAGGGACACACTCAGGGAGCAGACTCAGTGAGCACCAAAGCCCCACTGAAGCAAGTCTTGCCCCAGAAGGGTGTCTTCAGCACAGAAGTTCTCCCACTTCAGACACAGCTGATTCTCACAGCCAATTGGCCTGGAGGTCAATTCCTCCCAGTGATCCTACAACAACCAAGGCACCAAGAGTGCACCAAGAGTGTCCACCCCAGGTAACTGGGGAGGCTGAGCCACTGGGCCCTACAGGACACCTGGCACGCAGGGCCACTCTATCAACACAGGGAAGCAGCCAAAATGCGGAGACAAAGAAACAGGTCACAAATGGCAGAAATGGAGGAAAGCAAACGACTGGATATAGAGTTCAAGGCCACGTTTATAAGGTTTTTCAAGAATTTTATGGAAACCGCCGATAAATTTAATGAATCCCTCAATAAGTATAGTGAGACCATGGAGGACATGAAAAAGGACCAACTAGAAATTAAGCATACACTGACTGAAATAAAGAATAATTTAGAGATCCAACAGCAGACAAGAGGATCCCAAGAATCAAGTCAAAGATTTGAAATACAAAGAAACAAAAAATACCCAACCGAAAAAGAAAAAAGAAAAGAGATTCCAAAAATATGAAGATAGTGTAAGGAACCTCTGGGACAACTTCAAGCGTACCAACATCAGAATTATAGGGGTACCAGAAGGAGAGAGAGGGCAAGATATTGAAAACCTCTTTGAAGAAATAATGACAGAAAACTTCCCCTACCTGGTGAAAGAAATGGACTTACAAGTCCAGGAAGCGCAGAGAACCCCAAACAAAAGGAATCCAAAGAGGACCACACCAAGACACATCATAATTAAAATGCCAAGAGCAAAAGATAAAGAGAGAATCTTAAAAGCAGCAGGAGAAAGACAGTCAGTTACCTACAAGGGAGTACCCATACGACTGTCAGCTGATTTCTCAACAGAAACCATGCAGGCCAGAAGAGACTGGCAAGAAATATTCAAAGTGATGAATAGCAAGAACCTGCAACCAAGATTACTTTATCCAGCAAAGCTATCATTCAGAATAGAAGGTCAGATAAGAGCTTCACGGATAAGAAAAAGCTAAAGGAGTTCATCACCACCAAACCAGCATTATATGAAATGCTGAAAGGTATTCTTTAAGAAGAGGAAGAAGAAAAAGGAACTCTTACCATTTGCCACAGCATGGATGGAAATGGAGAGCGGATAAATACCACAGGATCTCACTCATTTGTGGAATATAATGAACAACATAAACTGATGAACAAGGACTGATCCAGAGATGGAGAGGCATTGATTGGACTGTCGGGCCTTGGAGGGAGGGTAGGGGAGGGTAGGGGTAAGGGGGAAAGATCAACCAAAGGACTTATATGCAAGCATATAGGCCTAACCAATGGACACGGACAACGGGGGGGTGAGGGCATGAGCGGGGGGGGGGGGGGGGGGGTAGAGGGTAACGTGGGGACAAGGACACATATGTAATATCTTAATCAATAAAAAATATATTATAAAAAAAAAAAAAGAATCGGTGATAAGTAAATGAGCAACAGCTACTGCTATTTCTCATACAGCTTTCAAAGTATTTATTTAGGTAAAAAACATTAATATAAAATACCCCATCTTCTCCAATTTCCCTTTTTATGATTTATACTAGCTTTAAGATTAGGAGAACAGAATGTGTAAGATGTGCAATTACCAGATTGTTAAATTTATAAGAAATTTCTAAATGAAACAAGATTTTGCTTTGCTAATGTTTTCATATGTAAACCTTGGGGGTAGAAATCAGCAAGGGTATTATATTATTACCCCATGTATTATTTTTAAAGAAAAACAACAGATGACTAAGAGCCTGGAAATAACTACTGTCTACCATTTATCCTGTTCTAAGGCCTCGTTCTAGATCCAGGGACAGTGGAGATGAAAATGAACCCATCCAGGAGCGGTTCTTCAGACCTCACTTCTTGCAGGCTCCTGGAAACCTGACTGTGCAAGAAGGAAAACTCTGCAGAATGGACTGCAAAGTAAGAGTTTGCTATAGACGATCTATAAATCGATCGTCTCCCTTCTCCCCTCATTGCCATTTCCCTTTAGTTTCTTTTGGGAAAGTTATGTAAGATAGACATCTTTAATATGTGTTTCAGCTTAAGAGAAAGAAAAAGTAGTGAAATATACAGGATATGTATATACTGTTTTGAATCATTCTTTTCCTTCACTTTTAAACATTCAGTAAATATGTTCGTTCCCTAGGGACCCATTTACAGTATTCTAGAAAGCCCCTGGGAGGTTTTATCCTTTCTCATTTTGTTGAAATAATACATGTATTCATCAGTCATATGTCATTTCTAAGAGAAATGAGAGTGCAGCCTTCTTTCACCCATTTTACAGCGGGGCTTCTGGACTCTGGGAGGCCAGGTTTTATTGCATGTGTGAACTCTGAAATTGCACACAAGTGTGCGTGATAAAGCTTTCATCCATTTCTCAAGAGAGCTTAAGGCAAAAATGTTTAAAAACTGCTCTGGAAAATTTTTTGTTTGTTTTACCCATTACTTATTGATCTTAAATTTAAAATTTAGCTCTTAAATGTGGATAAGTTTTTTAAAAAAAAACAAACAGAATATGATTATATTTAATGCACAAGTTTGATACAACCAAAAAGTAAAACAGCAGAGTAAAATAGTAACAAAAAACATGGTATATCATTTGCAATGCATGAGAAATCTTTAACATCTTTAGTTATAAACAAGCTCTTCAAATCCAGCGACACTATAATAATGCAAGGAAGCTGGAAAAATGAAATGAAAAAGTACAAGTGATGATTAAGCAGTGTGGCTAAGGTTTTGAAACATTGTTTAGGCTCCCTCTGCTGGTTCTCTTTGAGATTGCAAAGCACAAATATAGTAGATTTAAAGGATAAGGGCAGTTTGTTTTTACAAAAAGTAAATCAATATATTTAACCTTTCCCATGTGCCACTATCTCCTAGAAAAGCACTTTATACAAAAATTAGCTCTTTTAGAAACATATAAAAAGATTAAAAAGATCTATTGAAATTATGACCTGATTATAATCACCTTCAATTCCTGAGATCAGGCTTTCTTTACTTATGCAAGCAAGAAAGGTGGGGTTAGAAAAAGGGTGGTAGAATCCAGCATTTTCCCTTTGCCTTACGCTCTGCCGCTGGCACAGGTGCGTGGTGAATGAGGTGGGCTGACAGTACACGGTGCTTTAGGCTTCTCCTCCTAAGCACACGGTGGCCTCGGCAGTGCACGGTCCTGCTTCTCTGGGGTCTAACTAGTACAGTGGGAACAGCAGAGCCACTTTGTTTCTACACTTGGGAAAGGCCTGGAGCCTGACCACAAGTATCCACTCCCTTTCTACAGTCCACTTCCAATGGCCTTCGACAGGGAACGCAGTGTATGTGGAGAGCTGGGGGTAGGGGGTGGACAGATGGGAGAACATAAGAGCGTCACCCTCTCAGAAGCCATGCGACCTAACTACTGCTGTTTGCTTCCAAATCTCTGCATCCCTTTGACCAGTCATTTAAATGTACTTAATATTTGTCCTTTAAATTCTCTAGACCTTTGTGACATGTGGGTATAAATGAGTATAAATGATGGTATAAATGAGTATCACGCAGCGTGAAGAGAAGTTATGAATTCTCTGGCTGATTTTGGCAGAGCTGGGCCTTCAAAAAATTGTTTTGCAGTCCAGCGGACATCTTTCTGTATGTAACTCCCCACTAGTAAATGGGAGCTGGGTAGAAAGGCCTTCCTTAGGGGTGCTTTTCTCCCCATTCACAGGCAAGGCTGTGAAGAGTTGACAGATGGCAGCCATCCATACCTTTCACAGCACAACTTGTGATTAGCAATTAAATGCGCTTTTGTCTGATCGCTGGTCTACACAGCTGTCATGGTCTCAAGATTTTATGATGTTTCCATTGTGATGCTAATCTGTTGATATGGCTTTCTGGGTAATTTTGTATTGTTCTTGTTAGTTTCAAGGATTATCAAATAATAGTAATAGCCCTATTTGCTGATGGGTGCACCACCATCTGCACAGCTATGGCAACTCTTTGATGAGAAGCTTCATAGTGTATAAATGCCAGCTGAGTATTTGTTACAGTTATTATGGTGGGACATCTTTTTGTAAAAGAGCTCAGGGCCCTATGCTGACACCATCCAGTAGTCTTTATAACCCCTGGTGAGGTAAGACGATGACAGAAGTTTTTTAAATCCCCATTTCTCTAGGCTGCTCTATAAGAAATGTTTAAAAGTGAGTGCACAAGTGCTTCGGGAGCCACTGAAAGGTTTTAAGCCAAAAAGAACCTGAGCTGGTACTAAAAGCCATCTTTTGTACTACCAAGGGAGGAATTTATTATGGTTTCTTAGCTCTTGATTTCATTGTTTTAATATCAGAGAAATTTATATGCATTTTCTTTCTGGTTTAGGTCAGTGGGTTACCAACCCCAGATCTAAGCTGGCAACTAGATGGAAAGCCAGTCCGCCCCGACAGTGCTCACAAGATGCTCGTACGTGAGAACGGGGTGCACTCTCTGATCATAGAGCCTGTCACATCGCGAGATGCCGGCATCTACACGTGTATAGCCACTAACCGAGCAGGACAGAACTCGTTCAGCCTGGAGCTTGTGGTTGCAGGTAGGCTCAGCTGCGAATCCTTCCTCTCTCCAATGACCATCAGATTTGGAAATGTGAACTAATCCTACATCAGTAACCAATATGGAGAATAATTCAAACTGCTGAAAAATAGATTGCATCATCAAAATAGCCATTCAGGGCATGTTGTAAGGCTTAGCAAATCAGAAACTAATTTTTCTTCAGTGTAGCCATTATGATTTATTTTTCCTTCTCGCACTAGCCTGGACAAGAGAGAAAGGGACTTGGGCTTTTCTGGGTCATCTGCTCGTGTGTATGTGCTGGCCCTCAGTGTTACCTACAAGAAGGGCAGTAAGCAGCAGCATGGGCTCCAAGAACCGAACTTGCTGTGTAAGAACTTGCTTATGCATGAAGTTCTGAAGATAGACTCAGCTTTTAAAATAACAGATACCAATTTCAAAGTCCAAAATTTTAAATATTTCATTACCCCCAAATATTACAGTCACATTAAACTCAGAATTGCCTTTTAATTAATTATACTGTTTGGTAAACTTTGTAAAAGTATTGTTATATGAAGCCTTACCCTTAGATAAGGACAGTATATTTATGGAAAGGTTTATACCATCCCTAGGAGTTGAACATAAGATTCTGATATCTCTTCTTGTAAAAGAAAAAGAAACAATGTTTATTCCTCATATACATTATCTCAATTAGTCCTTACAACAGCTCTATGAGATAATTAGAGCAAATGTTTATCCTAGCCTTAGGGATGTGGAAACTAGAGAGATTAAGTGACTTGCCTGGGTCCCATTAGTCAGCTAAGGGCCAGTCTCAAAAGGTCTGTTGACTCCTAGTGCTCTTCCACACACCGAGAGCCACTGAGTTCTTTGAAGAAAGAGAGTAGCAGTCAATATGTGGACTATGGTGCTGTGTGTTAGCCATGCTTTACAGTTTTATGTATAGTATTCAGTACACTACGCACTAGGATTGACTTCCCTCATTCCTCTAACTCTCCCTCATCAGACTAAACCCTTTGGTTTTCTCCTGTTAAATGTGCTGCCTGTCCTCAGGACTGACCCTTGAGGTCCAAGAGACATCTCCGTTAGAACATGGCAGCGCATAGTAATTGGAAGCAAAGTCTCTGATGTCATATCCCAGCTCTTGCTTACTAGCTGTGTCCTTGGGCAAATATATAACGACTCTGCCACTTCATTTCTCCATATGAAAAATGGGGAACATGATGCCTCACATGTTTTATAAGGTTAATCTGTAAAGCTCTGCATCACCAGTACCCTCCATAGCAATGCTCTGCAATGGTAACTGCAACTCTTAATGGTGAGCTGCTATGACATTAAGACATTTTATATACATTTTATGCTCTTTTCAAAACTGGGCCTAGAAAGAATACTAAGTGGGGTCTGTTCCTACTTCACCAAAATAGCCTAGGTCAGTGGTCGGCAAACTCATTAGTCAACAGAGCCAAATATCAACAGTACAACGATTGAAATTTCTTTTGAGAGCCAAATTTTTTAAACTTAAACTATATAGGTAGGTACATTGTTATTAACTTAATTAGGGTACTCCTAAGGCTTAGGAAGAGCCACACTCAAGGGGCCAAAGAGCCGCATGTGGCTTGAGAGCCACAGTTTGCGGACCACAGGCCTAGGTCAAGTAACCATGTAAAGTCCAATAAAAATACTACCCTCTACTCCAGCCGGTGTCGCTCAGCGGTTGAGCGTTGACCTATGAACCAGGATGTCATGGCTCAATTCCCTGTCAGGGCACATGCCCAGGTTGTAGGCTTGATCCCCAGTAGGGGGCATATAGGAGATGGCTGATCAATAAAAAAATTTTTTTTTAGATAGTCTTGGGTATTTGAAAATTTCAGGTGGAATGTTTATCATCTTCACCTGTTTTTCCCTTAGCTTTGCATTGATATATTTATCACTCCAGAAGGTAGAATATGGTGGAGAAAGACATGTATCCTCAAATTCATTATTGGTAGCTCAGAAGAAAATAAAACTAAACCTTATTTTCTCAAATTTTTTCTACATCAGATCCAACAAAACAATTTCCCATTGGATGATGATATTAGAGTGCTTTTAACAGTCAATTCTGAATTCTCAGACTAATGAAGTTATCCTTTTATATGGCTTCCTTCCTTCAAGGTCTTTTTATAGCCCTTCAAATACAAATTGGAATCTGTAATTTATAGGTAACTAGTTAAAGCTGCCAAAGTTAGATGAAAATGCCTCTCAACTTTATGTTTCCCCTTTTCAATCCTACAGTACTTCTCACTTAAGCCATCACTTAAAAGTTTCAGAATCTTCATAGCAAACATTTCAGATAGCAGGGAGAAGAATTAAAGTGGATCAAATTCCTAGATACACGTGTCCTCTTCAGCACCACTAGGTGGCAGTGGTTGGTAAAGGCTGGGCCTGGGTGGTCACATAATTAGCAGTGAAGCCATCCCAGCTGCTGGCAATGACCTAGGAGTCTCACACAGTCTGTCAGGCATTCTGTGGAGCAGATGGCCAGTGGACTGTGTGGGCCTGTCAGGCTTGAATTCATTGAGGAAACAAATGAGTGGAAGGAAGCATAGTAACCTTTCTTGGTGAAAGAATAATTTGGAGAGAGGACTAGCATCGTGCCACCTCTGAAGTAACAAATAGTATCATAAAAGATCCGCTTAAGGAATATTCCAAAAAGCTTCTGAATTCTTCATAGTGCTCCTTTCATCTATCACTGATAGATCATTTATGTCGTGTTTTCTCAGCTAAAGAGGCACACAAACCCCCTGTGTTTATCGAGAAGCTGCAGAACACCGGCGTTGCTGACGGGTACCCAGTGAGACTGGAATGCCGTGTTTCAGGAGTGCCACCACCTCAGATATTTTGGAAGAAAGAAAATGAATCACTCACTCACAGCACTGACCGAGTGAGGTGAGACTACAGGACGAATTAATCTAATCCTAATGATACATAGGAAACACGGCTCACATACCACATAAATCTGTGTGAGTCATGCTACTGATGACATCAAAAACAAAAATCACTCTCTACTCTAATGTGTGATCAAGCCTTTAGAAAGAAGCTATAATGGTATGTGATGAAGCACATTCTAATTTAATCTCACGGTGATTTTTCTGTGTTTATCTTTATACTTAAAAGAAAAGATGAATTCATTTGCTGCAATGGTGATAGAAACTATTCAGTGGTTTGGTAAAGGCAGATCCTTAACTAGAAATTAAGAGTGCAGATTTATTCAACCTCTTGACGTCTGCTCTTCTCTCCCATTAACTTTAATGGGGCTGGCAGCCTCTCCAGAATAAGTATGAACCTATTATCGCCTGTTCTCACTATTCTGTTTCTAATGACCTAATTAAAAATGATGCTTCGTGTTCACAGCCACTTTTTACAAATTTCAAACCCTAATGGCCTTATCCTTCTCTTCAGCATGCACCAGGACAATCATGGCTACATCTGCCTGCTCATTCAGGGAGCCACAAAAGACGACGCCGGGTGGTACACCGTGTCGGCTAAGAATGAGGCTGGGATTGTGTCCTGCACGGCCAGGCTGGACGTCTACAGTGAGTGCGCTCCACCTTATTGCATTTATCCATTACGTTAGGAAAGTCAGGCATCTGCACAGCGAATCACATTACTGCTACTTAATCTTATAAACTAGTGTTTTTTCTGCCAAAAAATTCATATTGTTCTTTCTCTTTCTATTTATAGTTTCTCGACATTAATAGTGAACTACACCAGGAGAAAAAATACCCAAGTATCATGCAGAAACTTTGCATTATTAGCAAACTATGCATGTTGGCTAGTCAGTTGTGGCTTCCTTACCCAAGCATACCTTAGGCGTTAACCGTAGGCAAAGGCATAACCACATGTTTTTCACATGACGCTTGTTACTGTGTTTTGCAAATGAGTGCTTTTTTTTTTTTAACATTTCTTTATATTATAATCCTATCACAATGTCTTATTGCACTCTGAGTGTGTGTACCATTGATCCTGGAATGCATACTTTTGTGGCTTAGTGCTTTTCTCATTAATATATCTTAAGCAGCTGAACAACAGATTTGTGATTATGCATCCTAAATTTAAATAAAATCATGTTTATTGAATTTACAAACTAGTACAATAGCATAATGTGATCTATTGGCATACAGAAAACCACTAGAAAAATTTAAGAACCTTTCTCTTCTTAAATGAGAAATAACTTCATGAAGTTTTTCAGAAAATGAGTAACCTCAACTTTCCCGACTGCCTAATTCCTTCCTATTGATCACTGTTAAAAGATCCATCCAGAACACCAAACTACTCTAATTATTGTGGCATTTATACATTATGAACTCTGAAAATTAGGAAACTTAGAGACTATCTCAAAGGATTCCCTGTGCTGTAGCAAATATTTATTTTCAAATAAAAATAAACCACACTTGGTCTTTACTATCCAGCTGTTATAGTCCCAATACCCTGTATAGACAATAACTCAGCAACATATGAGCAAAATGCAAAACTATTCTTAAATTTTAGGATTTCTACTATCAATGTGTCCAGTCTTCATAAGGAACATGTGCCTGGAGGATGTCAAAGACATGTATTTACTTGAAACATCTAAGGGCTTTCCAGTAATCATGGTTAAAAGAGCCTGTTTTTGTTTTGTTTTTTGTAGCCCAGTGGCATCAGCAGCCACAGAGCACCAAGCCAAAAAAAGTACGTCCCTCAGCCAGTCGCTATGCAGCACTTTCGGACCAGGGACTAGACATCAAAGCAGCGTTCCAGCCTGAAGCCAGTCCATCTCACCTGACACTGAATGCTGGCCTGGTGGAGAGTGAGGACCTGTAATCCGACATTCTTCTTAAAGCTGAAACACTGAAACACCCTGCCTTGACCAGCATATGCCTTTGTCACTATGTAAAAGGCAAAACCATACCTTTGACTATAAGAAACCAAAATATTTTTTTTACTTGATATACCAAACTTAGAGTTTAAGTAGGTGATGCTGATAGAAATGTACACATTGCACAGGAAAACTTTTGAATTGCTGTGATTAAAGTGGACTGAAATGCTAAAAGTAACCACAATTTGTACTATCAAAGAGCCTATAAACATAGCTTTAGGTGCTACACAACACGATAGTGTGCAATGCGTAACATGAGGCATTTGTACCACAAAAATACTAAAATGATTCTAAAGTGGCAGTGTATCCAGACAGCTACAGTGAACCAAGTGCAATATGTAAGGATGGAAAAAGAAGAGGAAAGAAAACCAAGTTAATGCCTTGTCTTTGCAAACTGTTTTATATTAAATCATAAGGAGGGAATTACTTGCCTTAAATATAATACTGTCAAGTGTTTTCTAATAAGGGTAACACTTTAGTTCTTGACATTTTTTATGTGTTTTATTTCCTTTCATGCTACCTAGGTAGAAAGCTTATTTACAAACCATATTAAATGGCTAATTTAAATATAAATAATATAAAGTATTCTGAATAGAGCAGAAATATATTACAGTCCATTCCAGGAAAGGCATCCAAACCACCCAAATAACCAAGGCATACAGAATTTGGAGGAAACAGGGGTTTGAAAGACGTAAGGAGAAGAACAAAGGAAAAAGCTACCAACATACTTACTACATTGTGTTTAGATAAAAGTAGAAGGGCAGGAGACATGTTAAAGGCCAGGCTTTTCTTTGATTTTCTTGAAAATTAATCTCACATGTAGGTGAAAAAACACAGCCATTCACAAGTCAGGGAATCTAGGGCCAGCTGGAAGTTGGAGCACCTGTGCTATGGAAATTTAGTGTGTCTGAGTTTGTGTAGTAGTTGATGATTTTAGATGTTTAGAGCAAGTTGACAATGGACTGAGACTGCAAGATTGGTGTAAGAGAGACATTGCCTGTAGCATCTAGTCTACTTGAAGGAAATGGAGACTTAGGAGAGACAAAAACAGGTTTGCGCCATAATGTATTTTTTTCAATGGCACCAAGACATGGTGAATGGAAAATACCAGTTCACATCCCTGCTCACATGAAACCGTGCTTTAAGAAGGTGCCACGTGCTGAGGAGTTTGTAAAGGCGTCTCAGCAAAGACTTATTTTTAAATGCACATGATTCTGCATCAGCTAGAGACTGAGATGATTCTGACCAGACTTGATGGTTTTAAGTCGGAACCAATAAATTTTTAAAAAGAAGAAACAACAATTTGGCCTAATTTTATAAAACATGAGGCTTTAATGGTACTTTGCTATGAAAAGAAAACACTGTATTCCTTATGCAAAACACGTATACCTTTCATTATTTATAATAAAAATGTTGAACTCTCTAAGCTCAGTTACTCAATTCAATACATAGTATTTTTTAAAGTAATTTTATATCTGTGTACCACCCCATATATTTCATATTACTGCTTCACATGTACAGCTTTCTACTTCTTTGTAAGAACACCAACCAACCAGGTTTGAAATGATTAACAGGCTTGAGCACTGGGTGGCAGATATTCTATGCAGTGGTGCAAGCTTCTTTGGCCACACTTGTATGCATTACTAATATGGAATTTAAGATACCATACAAAGTCCCTCATGGACCTACCTATATTGTAGTACTATGACTTAGGTCATATCTTAATTGCCAAATTTTTCTGAATGTGACTTTTTTGCTAATTTTCTGGGTTTGGGATTAAGTAGCATTATTTTGCCATCTTTTGTGTTGTATTTATAAAAAAATAGTACTATCATACTATTTTTGGGTTGTTGTGCTGGTGTAATGTGGATTTAACATCAATAAATATTTAACAAATCATAGTTGCAATTTTGTGAAGCAAAATATTCAGTTGTTTTGGTTTTCTATTGCTGCTGTAACAAATTAGTGCAAACCAAGGCTTAAAACAATACTCATTTCTTAGCTCACGGGTCTCTAGGTTAGAATTTCAGGAACAATATGTCTAGATTCTCTGCTCAGGGTCTTACAAGGCTAAAATCAATGTATCTACTAAATTGTTCACGTCTGGAGCTCAAGATCCTCTTCATAGCTTAAGTTGTTATGACAGAACTCAGTTCCTCACTGATGTAGAACAGGAGTCTCACTAAGTCTGTCGCTAGGAGTCACTCACTCCTCCAACCACCCACATCCCTTGCCACTTTCAAACTCAGCAATGAGAATCTCCCTCAGGACAACACTCTTTGAATCTCTTGGCAACAGGCCCAAACACTTTTAACGCAGTGGTTCACAACCTGTGGGTCGCGACCCCTTTGGGGGTCGAACGACCCTTTCACAGGGGTCGCCTAAGACCACTGGAAAACACATATATAATTACATATTGTTTTTGTGATCAATCACTATGCTTTAATTATGTTCAATTTGTAACAATGAAAATATATCCTGCATATCAGATATTTACATTACGATTCATAACAGTAGCAAAATTACAGTTATGAAGTAGCAACGAAAATAATTTTATGGTTGGGGGTCACCACAACATGAGGAACTGTATTAAAGGGTCGCGGCATTAGGAAGGTTGAGAACCACTGATAGACGAAAGCCAACAAACAGCCCTTTACTGGCTATAACCCCAAGGCTCGGTATGGAGGAAGAAGACAGAAACACCCTTCTCCCAGTATTCCCCTCAAAGAGGCACATTCCCATACTTTAGAAACTGCTGTCCAAGAGTCTGGCTTCCAATCAGCCTGAATCTAGATGCTGACTGAGGTCCTATCCATTGGGACATTGACAGGTCTTGGCACACCTGCAACTACTGAGAGCAACTCAGAATAAAATAGGCTATTTGGACAATGACAACGGTTTGAGAGGCAACCAACAGCCTGGACAGGGCTGAATAATATGGTTCATCTCCTACATGGAGGCCACTCTTTCAAGACTGAGAGAAGTGAGTATTTTACCTAATAGAAATATACTGAGTGTCAAGGAAAAACGAAGAAATAAAGGAATCCACTCCATACAAAAGAAGATAAAAACCCAAGAAAAGACCTTAATAAAAGGGAGATAAGTGATTTAACTGATAAAGAGTTCAAAATAGCAGCTTTAAAGATGCTCAAGGAGCTTGGAGAAAAATACATGAGCAAAGTGAGAATTCCAACAAAGTGACACCACCACATAGAAGTCACAGAGACGAAGAGTACAATAACTGACATGAAAAATGCAATAGAGGGTTTCAACAGTGAACTGATGAAGCAGAAGGAACAGCAAACTCATAGCGGAGAGGAACTCATCCAATTAGAGGAACAAAAAGAAAAAAATGTGAAACAGTACAAATAGCTTAAAGGATTCAGAGGACATCAAGTGGACCAACATATATTCACATTATAGAGGTCCCATAAGGAGAAGAGAAAATGGGCAGAAAACATTTTCAAAGTAATAATAGATGAAAATTTCCCTAACCTGGGCAAGAAAACAGATATCCAGATGCAGGAAACCCAGAGTGTTCAAAACAGATGAACCAAGAGGCCTACACCAAGATACATTAAAATGTAACATGTCAAAAGTTGAAGACTAAAAGAGAATCACTTATAAAGCTAGTGTGAAGGGGAAAGACTTAAAAGGAATAAAAATAAATACAATAATTAGTTAAGGGATACACAAAATAAAATACTGCAAATTTAGACATCAAAAATATAAAGTGAGTGGGAGTGAATAAAAATGTTGTGTTAAAATGTGTTCAAAGTTAAGTCATTATCAACTTCAAAACAGACATAAGTTGTTTTATATAAACCTCATGGTAACCACACACAAAAAAACAATACACACCTATAGTAGATACACAAGATTTAAAAAAAAGAAATGTAAGCATACAACCACAGATTAATTAGATCACAAAGGAAGAGAGCAAAAGAAGAACAAAACAACAAAGGAATTATAAAACAGCCAGGAGACAATTAACAAAATGGCAGTAATTACATACTTATCAATAATTACTTTAAAGGTAAGTGGACTAAACTTCCAATCAAAAGACACAAAATGGCTTAGTAATTAATTTTTTTAAAGACCCATCTATATGCTGTCTAGGAGACTCAGTTCAGATGTAAGGACAGAAAAACTAAAGGTGAAGAATGAAAAAAGGTATTCTATGCAAATGGAAACCAACAGAAGGCTGGGATAACTATACTTATATCAGACAAAACAAACTTTACCACAAAGACTGTAATAGGACAAAGAAAGTCATTATATGATTGATTATAATGGAGTCAATCCAATAAGAAACATAGTATTATAAATATTTATGCTCATAAATATGCAAAGCAAATAGTGACAAACCTAAAGTCAGAAATACACAGCAATCCTATATAATAAAAAGGTAATATGCAAATCGACCAAACGGCAGAATGACCAGTCGCTATGATTCGCACTGACCACTAGGGGGCAGACGCTCAATGCAGGAGCTGCCCCCGGGTGGTCAGTGTGCTCCCACAGGGGGAGTGCCAGTCAGCGAGTGCAACATTGGTGGCAGGAGCCTCTCCCACCTCCGAGGCAGCACTAAGGAGCAGCGAGCCGAGCTGTAAGGAGCAGTGAGCAGGCAGGCGGTAAGGAGCAAGGGCTCCCGGACTGGGAAAGGGATGTCTGACTGCGGGAAGCGGGCCTAAGCCAGCAGGCAGACATCCCCCGAGGGACCCAGGTCTGTGAAAGGGCGCAGGCCGGGCTCGGAGACCAACCCCCCCACTCCCCTGAGTGCACAAATTTTCATGCACCGGGCCTCTAGTACAATAATAATAGGAAACTTTAATATTCCACTTTCAGCAATGTATAGGCTATCCAAACAAAAAAATTAATAAGGAAATATTGGCCTTAAATTACATGTTAGACCAGATGGACTGCAAATCCAATTCATCAATACATTAAAAGGATTATACACCATGATTCAGTGGAATTTATTCCAGGAATGCAAGGATGTTTCAATATCTGCAAATCAATGGAATATACCATGTTAACAAAAAGAAAGATAAAAATCCCATCATCTCAACAGATGCAGAAAAAGCTTTTGACAAAATTCAACATTCATTTATGATAAGAAAACTCTCAACAAAGTGATTATAGAGGGAACATACCTCAACATAATGAAGACCATATACAACAAACCTACAGCTAACATCATACCCAACAGCAAAAAGCTGAAAGCTTTTCCTCTAAGATCAGGGACAAGGCAAACATGTCCACTCACACCACTTTTCTTCTCAGAGCAATTAGATAAGAAAAAAACATAAAGTGCACCCACATTACAAAGGATGAAGTAAACCTGTCACCATTTTACAGATGATGTGATATTTTGCTTATAAAACCCTAAAGACTCCACCAGAGAACTATTAGAACTAATCATTTCAGTGAAGTTTCAAGATACAAAATAAATATACAAAAATCGGGTGTTTTTCTATATACTAATAGCAAAATATCAGAAAGAGAAATTGAGAAAACAATTCCATTTACAATTGTATCAAAAAGAATAAAATACCTATAAATAAATTTAACCAAAAAGGTAAAAGAAAACTGTAAGACATCTAATGAAAAAAATCTGAAGATGATACAAATAAATGGGAAAATATTCCAAGCTTTCTATTAGATTGGAAGAATTAACATTGTTAAAATGTCCAGAATACCCAAAGCAATCTAAAAATTCTAATGGCACTTTTCATAAAAATAGAGCAATCATAAAATGTGAATGAAATCACAAGACCCTAAATAGCCAAAGCAACCCTGCAAAAGAACAAAACAGAAAGCATCACACTGCCAGATATCAAACTATATTACAAAGCTACAGTAATCAAAACAGTATAATACTGGCATTAAAACAGACACACAGATCAATAGAACACAATAGAGAGTTCAGATAAAAACCCATGCACATGTGGTCGATAAATTTACAAAATGGAGCCAAGAATATGGAATGTGGAAAGGACATATTGAATGGAGAAAGTTTCTTTAATGTTGCTGGAAAAAACTGGATAACTACATGCAAAGGAATGAAACTACCGTACACAAAAATTATCTCAAATTGGATTAAAGACATAAACATAAGACCTGAAACCATAAATCTTTTACAAGAAAATATAAACAGTAAGCTCCCTGACATAGTTCTTGGCAATGATTTTTTTGACTCTGACACTAAGAACAACAAAAACAAAATTAAATTAGTATGACTGAAAACTAAAAAGCTTCTGCACAGCAAAGAAAACTATCAACAAAATGAAAAGGCAGTAAGAGGTTAATATCCTAAATACACTTAAAAATTAATTTCTTTCAATAGAAAAAATCCAATTAAAAATTGGCAGAGGACACTTTTCCAAAGACATAAGGATAGCCCACAGGTACATGAAAATGTGCTCAATTTCACTAATAATCAGGGAGATGTAAGTCAAACCACAATGAAATATTACCACACACCTGTTAGAATAACTATTATCAAAAAGATAAGAGATAACCAGTGTTGGCCAGGATATGGCGAAAAAACCCGTGTGTATTGCTGGTGGGAATATAGACTGAACAGTATAGAGGTTCCTCAAATAGTTAAAAATAGTACATATAATCCAGCAATTCCACTTCTGGGTATATATCCAAAGAAAATAAAAACTCTACCTTGGAAAGATATATGCACCCTCATATTCATTGCTGCATTATTTACAATAGCCAACACATCGAAGCAACCTAAATGTTCACTGATAAATGAATGGGTAAAGAAAATGTGGTGTGTGTGCAATATTATTTAGCCATAAAGAAAAGGAAACCCTGCCATTTGTGGTAACATGGATGGATCATAAAGTCAGTGTACTCAGTGAAATAAGTCACACAGAGAAAGGCAAATATCATATGATCTCACTTAT